ATTTACTATATTTAGTTCATTTTGGGAAACTCCCAGAGCACCCCGATATGGTCTATGTAATGGGTAATGTTATGAGTAATGCATATTTTTCCGAAGTGATGCGTGATATAACAGTACCCTGTCGCGTGATATCACCTTTGTAATATTACTCACATTACTTACACATGTCTATCACAAAGTAGTCTGTGGTCACACACTTTTTCGTGTCGTGATCGTGTTTTCCCCTTTAATTTAATTATTAAACGGTGCTATTAGCTCGTAATTAAATCTCTACATTTGCTCAACATAAAAAGCAAAAATGTCTTATTACTATGAAGATCTGAGCCCAATTGGTTAGTAGGTTTTCATCTTATTTTCCTATTTGTTAAACTATGCTTAGTTTATTAGCAACTGGAGTATAATACATGCATTTTGGATATAAATAAATTTTATCTAGCTAGCTAAGATTATAAACCTGGAATAACCTCCCAAAATGGTGACATGTCAAAGGACAAATTTTGATTTCAGTCATGAAGGATATGCTCCGCAAATGGCGTGAGAGCAATGAGCGACGCAGCGACGAGGTGGTTGAGCTTTGGATGTCCATCATGGGCATGAATGAAGAGGGACAAGTCACCTCTTTGGGAAATGAAAGTGAGTTTATCTGCCTTAAAACCTGTCTTCTGTCTTCCTAGTTCTAGAAATTATTTTTGTACTAGAGGTTCAAAAAAGGATATGCACAATATTTGAGCTAGTGATGAAAGAGACTCAGTCTTTTAAGGCCTTTTAAAAACCTTGACTAATTTTTAATGCCTCATGACTAGTATAGTGTTTTAACCCTTAAGTCTTGAGTCATAAGACTAAAACTGAAGACTAATTCAAGTCGAAGTCTTTTAACCTTAGGAAGCTTACAAAACTTATAGAACTAAAATGACTAAAAAGACTAAAACGACTGGCACCATATAGCCTTAGGAGTCGCGAGTCATGAGCCGTATGGAGTGATTTTGTTTCTACTATAGTTATATGACTAATATTGTGCTGCACTGACTGATATTGTGTGAAAAATTGTGGATGCGCTGCTGATGTACAGCTATTTGATAATGAAAATGATATTAATCTTCAATGTTTCTTAAGTGTCTGTAATTGTATATTTAATTGACGTGATTGTATATTGTAATTGTATATTCAAATGAGGCGTGAAAAGGCATATTGTAGGCAGGCAGGGTGGAGGTGGCTAGTGCAGTGAGGGTTTCATTGCTGCACTGGGTTCCTTCGCGTTTGGATACCACTTTCCACTTAACATCAGGTGGAGTGGAGTCATTTGCCTGTCATGTATAAAAAAAAAATTCATTTTATTTTACAACTAGTGAATGATTAAGAAATGTACTTGGTTTGCTGTATTCTCTGATTCTGCTGTCCCCGTACCCCAAATTCCATGTGTGATTAATGTCCCTGGAAACAAAAACCGAGTATAGCCCAGTGAAACTCATTCTATGGAACAAAAGCACACATAGCTCAGAGTGTCTTGAAAGACGACAGCCCAGTTTCATGTACACTAATGGTGAATCTGAATTCTATTTACTAGGTGACAACATTTAAATTCCTCTGAATAATACAACTGCGCAGTCGCAGCTTAGACCAGAGACAAGCCAGGCTCGCCCGCGCGACCGGGATGCTCATTTGAATTAAAACATAAAAGCTTAATAAATACAGTGTACTTTGCCATGACAGTTAGATGCATGCGGTAGCTGCGCGGTGACAAAGCGGCCTCTGTGCCGTGACCGCGTGAGCACGATGAAATTTGTGTCCAATAAATGTGCCCTTATGCACTCAAGCACTTCAGGGCATATAATTAATGTTCACAGTGGTAAACACTGCAGAGAAGCCTTAACATAGAGTAGAAATATTGTCAAAATGCTGGTCAGAGCTATAACGGGACATTGTGGTTTAAATAAACGCATATCCAACCTCAAAATACAAGAGAGCAGAAACTATAGACTCTGAAATAAAGCAGACGAGTCTTCTCTCAGCATCTCTTGATCACAGACTACATATAATATATGTTATTGACTCCCCGGAACTTGTGGCCAAGGTCTCTCTTAGAGCCCCTTCAAGGGCCCTTAGGTTTAATCCACTCCTATACGTACCCCCAGCTTCCTCGAACTTTCGGCAGAATGCATTTCTTTTACGGGCAAGCAATAGCTTTAATTCATTATCTAAGCAGGTCGACATCGATCTCTTCAACACTGGTGCGACATCGGTAAAGCGTGTTATGACTAAGTTGGTTTTTGATAGGTAATTGTTTGTTTATTTTTCTTTTTTTTTGTGTGTGTGTTAATATATGAGTTGTAAATTTGTTTAATCTGTTTTGTGGATAAGCTACTTTTATTCTTTTTTCTTTTTATATGTACGAGTATAGTTAAGTGATGCTCCAAATTTTGTTTATAGTGTTTCTACTGGTGGGGACCTTTAATTGGCTTTCTAATTTTATTTAAGTTTTTATTTTGTATAACAGCCGTTGGTTCTCCTTCAAATAAAATAAATAAATAAATAAATAAATAAATAAACAGAATCTCGAGCATAGAATACTTGCTACTGGGCAGGTACATACAGAAATCCAGGCCTAGATACTTACCAGAGATCAAAACATTTGAAGGTAGGTAAATTCTTCAGTTTTTTTAATGGTTTTGGCTCTGCACTATAATTAAGGCTTTCCAGAGCCAGAACGAAACCAACCTAACAATAATAATACTCAAAAACGTAAAGTAAACCCTGTGTTAAATAAGATGTTATTAAAACTTGGTTATTTCAGAATATGTTATCCTGGAGCAAGTAATATTTGCGGCTTTAGATGTCCATAACTACAGTGTGGCAAAATATGCTATCCTGCTGCTTAATAACGAGTTCCCAGACAGTCTACGTGTACAGAGATACAAGGCGGCCTTGCTTGAAGCCGAAGAGAAGTAAGTAAAGTTAGGCATAAGATAGGAAGGTTTATGATTTATTAAACACAGTGACATACACACATACCATCATGCCTGGGCAGTCAGTCTGCTGATTATCGATGGAGGCTGGGTGAGACAGGTGTCCTTACAGGATAATTTGATTTACTGCACATTAAAGTAAGCATTTTTCTCCTAAGCACTTTTATCACGTATCTTAGTGAATTTTGACATTTGCTGTACAATTTTCGTACAATATGTATAATAAAGATTTATGTTTTTTAATTACATTAAGTGATGGGACGAACAAGGCGTGCGCCTGATGGTAAACTACAAACCTGTCCATAACAGTTGCTGTGCCACTCACGAGCTTTAAATCGCAAAGATCTAAGGGGCACTGCCACTGCGCCTGTGACCCGGAGACATAAGTTGACAAGTCCTATGTACCTGTAATTTCACCAGCACCGTTACCCTTCAAAACCGAAACAGTAATTCCGAAATTACTGCTTGGCGGCAGAAATAGATAAGGTGGCAGTACTTCACTGGACGAACTCTTTAACAAGGAGCTCTACTGCTGCTAACGGTTGTGTAAAAAAGTTACGAATTGAATATCAGTTAAATTAAACTAAAAGCTAGAGACTGGAGTCCATACTAGGTAACTAGACCTGTGTGTGTTGGCTGCTATAGGTATATAGGTTATTTCACTTGGGCTATTTTAAAGACATTGTTTATGCTAGGGAGGTATTAATACAGCAGGCATTTAAGAGCCAAAATCGCCATAGCTGTGCGAACTAGCGGATGGCCGGCGCTTCAATGAGCGAAGTCGGGTGGGGGTGCGAAACCGTGCATAGGCCGGTAAGGGTAGCGGGCACTCGCTGCATGTTCGATCGTATTGTATTTTCCTCAAAGAAAAATATTTAAAATAAGGTAGTGTTTTTTTTACATATTCGGTATGTGTATCAGCTACTCATACGCCTCTTTAAATATTTATCTCGTTCTACCTGTCACCCTGTATATTAAGGCGCTCTGCAGATGAAGCAACTTTAGTTGACGCAACTGGCAGCTTTTTACAAGTTTCTGTTAACAGTTGCCAGTTGTAGCAACTAAAAGGCCTAGTTGCCGCAATTTTAAATAAACTTTCGAAATCCACGGTCAAGGCTGACGCTGATGGGGACAGGGGGAGTGAATTGCTTCACGAGTTGCGGTTGCCGGTTGCGGAAACTAGCAACTGGAGACAACTGGTACAAATTTTCAAGTTTCTAGTTGCGGCAATTATGAATTTATTTAATCACGGATTTCGTCAATCGAAAACTGTAATCGATTGCCGAAACTGTCAACTGAAGCTGCTACGTCTGCGCGGTTCCTTGAAATTATATGAAAAACATGAACAGCTAGTTGCGAGTTGCGAGAGTTGCCGTATGCCGAAACTCGATGATCAAAGTTGCTCCATCTCCGCAGCGCCTAAGGACTCACACATACTACTACTATTATTTTTCCTATATCTATGACTATAACTACTCGCCCATATACACAAAAATAGATATGAATCAATGATTATTTTAATTTTTTCAGATATGATGAAGCCCTCCAAATCCTAGATGGCATAATAAAAGTGGACGAGACCAATGCGGCGGCGCGTAAGAGAATTGTCGCCATTTTCAAGGCACAGGGACTCATTACAGAAGCTATTAAGGAATTAGTTGATTATCTAAAGAAGTGAGTTCGAAATTGAATATTGGTTAGTTCATGAGCAGTGACATTAATGCAAGGGCTTGTTTGTGGCTCCTATTACCGATCGCAAATGGAGCCAACATAATGATGGACGCGCAAACTAGAGACAGATCTGCTGAAAAATCTGAAGATGAAATTTCACACTCGATTAGTAATCCAAGTTAGTCTAGAAATGGCTGGCACTTAACGCACTAATAATAAGCGCATATAATGGTGAAATTACAAGCACATGGGACATGAGACTGGCACAGTGGCGTGGCAGTGCCCCTTAGATCTTTGCGATTAAAAGATCTGAATGGCACTGCAACTGTTATGGGTAGGCGTTTCACTTATCACCAGGCGCACTACTTGTTCGTCCTGTCGCTTGGTATTATAAAAAAACAAATTTAAAAAATAATAAAAAAGTTGACTGCATGCTTACCTTGGACTCAGTGTTTCCGTGAATATCCTATAGCAACAAATCTGAATAGTATACCTACTTTTTGGAGACATGACTGTATTGTTCATGAATCATGGACTAAAATATTTACAATATACTATGTGACTCTTCTAGGTTCATGTCAGACGTGGAAGCGTGGCAGGAACTGTGTGATCTATATCTTCAAGTGCAGGACTACTCCCGTGCTGCATTTTGCGCTGAAGAACTAATTCTGCATCAGCCCCATAACCATCTCTTGCACCAGCGGTTGGCTGACATCAAATATACCATGGTTAGTAAGAAAGAAACATTTGTTCGATTTTTTACAAACTTACAACAATAATTTAAAAGAAACAATATGAAAAATCAAATTTAAAAAAAAAATTGAATTGTATCCAAAAAAGGCTAGCCAGCTCAGCTTAATGCTGGGTAGAGCCTCAGCACTGGTTTTCTGCTAAAGCCTGAAACAATATAGGTGGCTAAAAATATTTAATAAAACAAAAATAATGTAGCGAGTGTGATTTAAATCCGTATGTACAAAACAAGAATAAAATTACAATACAATTAAACCAAAGTGTGCAATGTGCTTCTTTATAAAACAATACAAATCGTATAACAAAATTCATAATGGTATTTGAATAACACAACAAAAATGTTCCACGTGATCCATTTTCTGGGTGACAACTCATTTATTAGTCGCACTAACGTTAATCCCATTCATTGGGGTCCACGTCGTATATTTTTTTCCGTTCATCTCAGTACTGCCACTATACTATAAACTGCCCTCGGAACGAAAAAAGGCAGAACTGTCGTATAAAGTACGCATAGTAGTGCCTTTTTTCGTTAAGAGGTATTTCTGCCGTCAAGTAGTTATATACGTGTTACTGCGTGCCGGCGTTAAACCACAAGGGTAAGGATGCTGGCAAAACTACAGGCACATGCGACTTGTCGCAGGGTTACAGACGCAATAGCAGTGCCCCTTAACTAATTGGCACTGTAGGGCTATCACAACAGGGCGCGACTTGCGCGCGAGATTCCGCGCTTTATGTCACTCTCGCGCAAACAGCGCCCTGTCGTGATAGCTTGTTATGGGAGACGTGTCGCTTACCATCAGACATAGGACTTGTTCGTTCCGTCACTGGATATCATACAAAAATGAACTGTGATCTTGTTCACTCCTTTCACATACGTATCACATTTCAGACAAACTATCCCTCTTTATTTGTCGATCCATTAACTCTCTTTCACTCTCTATACCTCTCTTTCATTCTGGCTTCACGTCTGATTCCTTCACTCTCCATTCAACACGTCTCTGGAATGTTCTCCCGGACGCCATCAGAATGTCTCCTGGTTTATTTTCTTTCAAAAAGGATGTCCATGAGCATATTTTAAATTGTTTGTCACAGCGATAACCATCATCATGATCTGTTATTGTATGTACTCGCATTAGCGCGCCCGGATCACAGTGTGGTCGGCGTCCGACGCCACACTGCGCGCAAGGAACGCTCGGCGACGCGCGAAACCGCTCGATTTTTTAACCAAGCATCAACGCGCGAAGGCGCGCGCCGTTACACGATTCCATATTTGCATAACACAAATTTGTACCTTAATAGTGGGAAAATAGAGACGAATATGCTATAGGCGAAAACATGACTCGTCGCGACACTTCGACTCTACGCCAATGTGAGTTGAGCCTAAGTCCGCCTTCAGTACCATTATGTGTGCAATAAAGTTTAATGAATAAATAAATTTGTCTTCTCCTTCAAAGACGTTCACTCATATTGAACATCTTCGTATAATTAAGTCAGACAGACTGCTATATTATCACAACCTTTGAAAAACTTATCCCCAAACCGCATTAACCCTCATGAACCCTATGCTTGCCTAGCAATAGGATGTATAGTATGTTGATCGTCAGTTGGTATCTATCTGTGTCCTACAAGTAACAATTTACTCTCTCTTTAGAGGAGATCCGTGCCCAGCAATTGGAACGTAAGTCTTTTTACAGTATAGTAGTAGTCAGTAAAAGTCTTCTTAAAGATACAATAGTTTCCATCTCCTAAAGTTGGCTCGAAGAAATTACTTCTCCACAATAAAGTATAAGTATTTAATTCATTAATTTTCTTTTTCAGGGTGGCATTGAGAATATGGAAACGGCCAAGTCTTACTACTGTCAAGCACTGAAGCTAAATCCTGACAATATGAGGGCCCTGCTTGGACTCTTCCTGGTAAGACATTGTTGTCATCCTCATGATAGCTATAAGAGGTCAACATTTCATATCGCCGCCTTTTATTTTGTCGAATTAGAGGCTATCAGATATAAAAACCCACACCTCGTTTGTATATTTTATAAATACACGCATTTTATATAGTCGTATAAAAGCAATGTCCTCCCAATGACTGCTACAAACAGAATTCTGAAAGCCTAAGTATCCTTAACCGAATATTGTTTGGTAGGGCTCATCTTTGGCGCCATTAACCTAACCTAGTGTGGCGCCACTTTATATATTGTGGTGCCACGAACCTAACACACCGTAACAATGGAAACACAGTACGCATTGACCAAGTAATGCTCTCATTTGACGCTATAAAAATATTTTTAAAGTGTTTGTGTAATTAACGTAACAATATTAAGTACCTATTATAATTGGTGGGATATCGAAGAAATGTTTCTATGCGTTCGATAATAATCATAACAAAACCAATGGAGTTATTTCACAAAAAGATTTTAAATGTTTTTTAATATTTCAATTATGACATACAACTGTATGTCAAATATAACAATTTGTATAATAAATATAATATTAATAATTTGTATAATTAAGTCCTTTTGAGGTTCAACTCTGGAATATTGTTCCTTAGCAAACAACACCTCTTAAGTAATTTTATAAAAAACTGCATATATTATTGTATAAAATATTTTTTTACCTATTGTTAGTAATTGTAATAATGTTCATTTTAACCTATTGCTAATAATTGGTAAAAAAACTTATAAAAAGCTTTTTTTTATAACTATTTATATGCTGATAGGCCCAGAATATTACTTGAATATACATCCATAATTACTCATCATTTGAAAGTAATGAAAAATTTCGCTTATTAACAAAAGTCACTCAGAAATGGTGGTTAACCACACAGGTCTATAATAATGATAATGGTTTCTCATCTCGGCACATAGCAGACAAAAAAATGACTACCAATTTTATCTATCACCTTTTGTGAGAGACTGGGTGTTCTGTACTAATTAATTGGAATTGGACCTGTATTAAAGCTCACCAGGGAACCCTTCAGCCTATTCTTAAATAAAAACATATCCATTGTTAGGGTTCAATAGCAAATGGTACTTCGGGCTTTCTGTTATTAGATAATAATTTGTGTAATGTGTGAAACTCGATCGTGCTGTGGAACAGGTGACGAACAACCTGCTAAACCACTACAAGTCGTCGGGCAACAGCAGCAAGCGTAAGGAGGTGTGGAAGTTGTGCCAATGGGCGCAGGCGGCGGCGACGCGCAGGCAGCCCGCGCAGGACGCCTTGCCCGCTGCGCCGGCTCTCAGCCAGATGATGCTGTCGTTAGCCATCACGGACTAGGCGAACAACGAGTGTCAATAAGCAGTTTAAAGTGACAGTAAACATTAACCCGTATCTGACAGAATTTACTCCGCAGCTTGTCACTGTTGGCTGTTGTGAGTGGATTGTGTGCGGCCATCATTATATTTTGATCGTTAGACACGGCCCTCCCAAGTTCTAAACATTCGCATATACAGTAAGCAGGAGTGAAAGGAAATTGCTTACGCGATGTTGTCTTACCAGATGTCTAATTTTAGAATAGCGCATTAGAATCGTGGGAGGGCCGACCTTTGGTGTTATTTAGAAGTTTAAATGTGCTTTTTAAAAAGTAAAAAAGATATTATTATGTATAAAAAGATCGAATACACAGAAAAATTTCGTCGACCCGGTGGCACT